GGATTCCAGAGTGTAACTGTTAACCAAGGAGAAAGCTGACATAACACATGTGGTTCATTGAATTCTTCCACAACAAATTTGTTTCGTGACAGATATACAGCGAATTAAGGTCAGAAATAACGTGGAATATCCTTCAATGTTAGGACAAATCAGAGTGGCCATATAATGTTAAGGATTCCAGAGTGTAACTGTTAACCAAGGAGAAAGCTGACATAACACATGTGGTTCATTGAATTCTTCCACAACAAATTTGTTTCGTGACAGATATACAGCGAATTAAGGTCAGAAATAACGTGGAATATCCTTCAATGTTAGGACAAATCAGAGTGGCCATATAATGTTAAGGATTCCAGAGTGTAACTGTTAACCAAGGAGAAAGCTGACATAACACATGTGGTTCATTGAATTCTTCCACAACAAATTTGTTTCGTGACAGATATACAGCGAATTAAGGTCAGAAATAACGTGGAATATCCTTCAATGTTAGGACAAATCAGAGTGGCCATATAATGTTAAGGATTCCAGAGTGTAACTGTTAACCAAGGAGAAAGCTGACATAACACATGTGGTTCATTGAATTCTTCCACAACAAATTTGTTTCGTGACAGATATACAGCGAATTAAGGTCAGAAATAACGTGGAATATCCTTCAATGTTAGGACAAATCAGAGTGGCCATATAATGTTAAGGATTCCAGAGTGTAACTGTTAACCAAGGAGAAAGCTGACATAACACATGTGGTTCATTGAATTCTTCCACAACAAATTTGTTTCGTGACAGATATACAGCGAATTAAGGTCAGAAATAACGTGGAATATCCTTCAATGTTAGGACAAATCAGAGTGGCCATATAATGTTAAGGATTCCAGAGTGTAACTGTTAACCAAGGAGAAAGCTGACATAACACATGTGGTTCATTGAATTCTTCCACAACAAATTTGTTTCGTGACAGATATACAGCGAATTAAGGTCAGAAATAACGTGGAATATCCTTCAATGTTAGGACAAATCAGAGTGGCCATATAATGTTAAGGATTCCAGAGTGTAACTGTTAACCAAGGAGAAAGCTGACATAACACATGTGGTTCATTGAATTCTTCCACAACAAATTTGTTTCGTGACAGATATACAGCGAATTAAGGTCAGAAATAACGTGGAATATCCTTCAATGTTAGGACAAATCAGAGTGGCCATATAATGTTAAGGATTCCAGAGTGTAACTGTTAACCAAGGAGAAAGCTGACATAACACATGTGGTTCATTGAATTCTTCCACAACAAATTTGTTTCGTGACAGATATACAGCGAATTAAGGTCAGAAATAACGTGGAATATCCTTCAATGTTAGGACAAATCAGAGTGGCCATATAATGTTAAGGATTCCAGAGTGTAACTGTTAACCAAGGAGAAAGCTGACATAACACATGTGGTTCATTGAATTCTTCCACAACAAATTTGTTTCGTGACAGATATACAGCGAATTAAGGTCAGAAATAACGTGGAATATCCTTCAATGTTAGGACAAATCAGAGTGGCCATATAATGTTAAGGATTCCAGAGTGTAACTGTTAACCAAGGAGAAAGCTGACATAACACATGTGGTTCATTGAATTCTTCCACAACAAATTTGTTTCGTGACAGATATACAGCGAATTAAGGTCAGAAATAACGTGGAATATCCTTCAATGTTAGGACAAATCAGAGTGGCCATATAATGTTAAGGATTCCAGAGTGTAACTGTTAACCAAGGAGAAAGCTGACATAACACATGTGGTTCATTGAATTCTTCCACAACAAATTTGTTTCGTGACAGATATACAGCGAATTAAGGTCAGAAATAACGTGGAATATCCTTCAATGTTAGGACAAATCAGAGTGGCCATATAATGTTAAGGATTCCAGAGTGTAACTGTTAACCAAGGAGAAAGCTGACATAACACATGTGGTTCATTGAATTCTTCCACAACAAATTTGTTTCGTGACAGATATACAGCGAATTAAGGTCAGAAATAACGTGGAATATCCTTCAATGTTAGGACAAATCAGAGTGGCCATATAATGTTAAGGATTCCAGAGTGTAACTGTTAACCAAGGAGAAAGCTGACATAACACATGTGGTTCATTGAATTCTTCCACAACAAATTTGTTTCGTGACAGATATACAGCGAATTAAGGTCAGAAATAACGTGGAATATCCTTCAATGTTAGGACAAATCAGAGTGGCCATATAATGTTAAGGATTCCAGAGTGTAACTGTTAACCAAGGAGAAAGCTGACATAACACATGTGGTTCATTGAATTCTTCCACAACAAATTTGTTTCGTGACAGATATACAGCGAATTAAGGTCAGAAATAACGTGGAATATCCTTCAATGTTAGGACAAATCAGNTAATAAGGAATCCTGTTATAGGTACTCTTAGATGGGCACTGAATTTTGTGGTGAAAACCGCATCCAAATTTGTCCAATAATTTTCAAGTGAAAGTTGCCTATAAAGACAAAGATTTTTGAATTTTGAGGGAACTCAGGGGAATTTTAACTTATAAGGGACCCTCGGGAGAACGGCCGATGAACTCAACGAAGCCTGAAATAATAAGGAATCCTGTTATACTCATAGATGCTCATTGAATTTTGTAGTGAAAACCGCATCCAAATTCGTCCAATGATTTTCAGGTGAAAATGCCTATAAAAGCAAAGATTTTTGAATTTTGAAGGGACTCAGGGGAATCTTAACTTATAAGGAACCCTCGGGAGAACGGCCGATGAACTCAAAGAAGCTTGAAATAATAAGGAATCCTGTTATACTCATAGATGCTCACTGAATTTTATAGTGAAATATATGCATAAAGACAGAGATTTTTGAATTTTGAGGGAACTCAGGGAAATCTTAACTTATAAGGAACCCTCGGGAGAATGGCCGATGAACTAAACGATGCCTGAAATAATAAGGAATCCTGTTATACTCTTAGATGCTCATTGAATTTTGTAGTGAAAACCGCATCCAAATTCGTCCAATGATTTTCAGGGTAAAATGCCTATAAAGACAAAGAATTTTGAATTTTGAAGGAAATCAAGGGAATCTTAACTAATAAGGAACCCCTGGGAGAATTGCCAATGAACTCAACAAAGTCTGAAATAATATAAGGAACCCTGTTAACTCTCAGATGTTCACTGAATTTTGTGGTGAAAACCGCATTCAAATTTGTTCATTAATTTTGAGGTGATGGATGCTTGTAAAGACAAATATTTTTAAATTGTAGGGGAACTTAAAGGAATCTTATCTTATAAGGAACCCTATCATTGGCACCTACTTGCAGGTCTTTGCAAAATTTTACATCCAGTGAACTCACTATTAGTTTTGATGTGTATGGAGTTTATACAGTCAAATATTTTGAGGTTTTGTCGGAACCCCACAAAACTCTAACTGACACATCGACTGAATTTTCTTATGAAAACCGTAACGATGATTATACATTTAAATCTTGACGGATCCCAGTGAAATCTGAGTTAGTAAAGAACCATATTCTACACGGTATCTTGAATTAATTATTAATTATTATTGAGCGATTGTGAAGGAACAGTGCATGATTTTATAAAATAGTGGAATATTCTGGATTGATTGAGGAGAGTAGAAAGGCGCGACGGGTGATGTGATGTGATGTGATGCGGCTGTTGTATGGCGGTGTAGGTATTGATGGTAGTTGTGGTCTGACAAGCAAGAGCTTGCAGCAAATTATCTGCCAGTTCTAGCGCAGCAATCATGCCGGTAATTTCATAACAGGTTTCGATTTAAGGTTGATAGACTTGGGCTAATCGACTGGGAGATCATTTATAAACTTGTTGTTTTATTTACCACCCTCATTAGTCGATGCACTACGTTCGAACAGAAAAAGCCCGAACAAGTATTGATGCCTGCATAATGGCTGTGACAAAACAAAAACCCGACTGACGGCTCGTTCTCTCGGCTTTTCTCAAATGCCCAGCGTCTGACCTCAACTAAGAACACATCCCATCGCGCCCATAGATCAGAGCTCAGTGACTCAACCCAACCAACAAATTTTCATCAAAAAAAAGAAAAGCTGCATCCGTCACCTTTCTGTAAGTGACAATTTTTAAAAAGGCAAACGAAAGCTTGTGACCATTACGAAAGCTTCGAAAATGTAGCAGCTACCAATCGATGGACTCCGATCGATACGTTAATGTGGAGTGGTGTGGTGGTGGTGGTGGTGGTGGTGGTACATCGATCCATTTCATATTATGTCTGATAGACACCTTATCCGTAACGGTTCAAATTCACCGGCCACTCTCTACCATCACAAAAAAATAATTGAACTCGTTGGAGCGCAGTGCGGACTTGCCTATCGGAAAAAACGATCAAAGAGTGCTGCTGCTTCTGCTGCTGCTACTGCTGCTCTGCCTCTCAAAGGGAGATCAGTAACGGCAAAAAAAGCCAACACTAATTTTCCGCCTTATTCATATTTTAAAAGATCTCCGATCTTCTTCTGCAATAATTCGAAACGTTGGAATTATTTCAGTTATAAATTTAAAAAATATGAACACCGGGAACACTTTACTAACTAACTGCCGTCTCGTATTCGAGCGGTCATCGAATTGTAAATTCCATTAATAAAACTCTAACAAGCACCCACTTCGTCATACGCCCACTTTAATCACAACAATAATTACATGGAGACTAGACTCTGACTTGCATTTGTCAAATTTGCACATCCTCATTAAACACTTTCTTCTTTTAAACCTGACGGCCAGTTCAAATTTCCAAATAAGAGTTAAAATGGTTTAAGACCTTCACAAAACAAAATTTGTTGAAATGCTACAAGTAATTGTAATTTGGGCACACTTACAATATCTTTTATAAAAACAATAACTCATTCATATTTTTCACATCAAATAAATACTGAACCTATCTAACACTAATAAGTTAAGTACTCATCTAATCAATTTAATTTATTGGTAATTAAAAATTAATTCTCTGTTGCTTACCTTTCTGCCCAACAAAGTGAATCGTCTCGATATCTGAAACACAAGAGTACGTGGTAATTAACCAGCTGATAATCAAAAATTTACAAAGTATTGACAATAAGTGTTTTAAATAAGTAATGGATTATTTCACGACCCTTCACTGGTGCTTACAACTGGTAATTGGAACGTGTGGAATTAAAAAAAGACAAATAATTCGATTATCCGCTCAACTAATTTGATTGAAGAAAATAAACACAAGTTCATAAGGGTGTGACATTTTATGATACCGCTTTTAAAACGACTTCGTACGACGCTGTGTTGATCTAAACTCATTCCATCAACGAAGTCTGCAAAATATTATCTGTAATCATTGATAATCATGGCAATTATCGATCCTCATCTTGCTATACCACTAAATTTTAACTGATGCGAATTTAACAACAAAAATTCTTTAGCATGTGCAAAGTCCTAAACCGACCATTACCTACCCTTATTTTTCAACCGATTCGAGAATTGATCGTCTCGTTACGTCCAAATTTCGAAATGTTTGGACGGATTTTGGTTGAGTCATAGTCTGAAATGAATCGGCTCCTAAAATATTAATTGACGAGTCACGGATCTCAGTCAGAAAAGTAAAATCAGCGGTATCCGAATCACTACGACGAATGGTGCGAGTCGAAGCGAGAATCGAAAGATGCGGACCCATTTTTAGGGTGCGATATAGTTACAGTTCTCTGTTCTAGACCTTAATATATACCCGTCTATATTCTGAATGGAATTACAACTGAATTATCGGGTTACGTACTGGGATTCAAGAACCGGGTTATGTGGTGTTGACCCGGCTCTCCAAAAAGACTCGAAACTCCTATCACTATCTATCAAAACCATTTTTAGTAGGTATCTTAGATTAGGATAGGGTTAGGGGTGGGGTTAGCTTTTTGTATTTGGTATTCGACCACTGCATAGTTTGTAGATAACGCTTTCGTAATACTTTAGCTGCTCAATCTTAGGTTTGGTTATTGCACGCGTTCAAAGTCCGTACGAAAATTTAGAACAGAGCTTTGGTCGTAACAAGGCGTCCAATCCTAGAATTGGTCGAAAAGTAAGTACATTGAATCAGAAATGCAAGAGCTTTTTCTTTCTTCGTGGTATAAAATTTTCTTGGTCAATGGGAATGTTATAGGTTTTGAAGACTACACATTGAGTTGACAGATTGACAACAAAAAAGTCAATTTATTATAATAAGGGTTCTGTTGGTGTTAATAATTTTGAGGCTTGGAATCTTGTCTTCCTCCAATGTTTTTAATGAAAGATATTTAAGCGTTTATTTTTTCCACTTTTGGGGAATGACTAGAAAGAATACGTGTTCTATATATGTATGAGTTTTACGAAGCTGTTTTAGTTATGTAGAAGTTAGGTGATATATTGAAGGGGAGCTTTTAGGATGCAACAGTCCTTTAAAATGAGTATGTAAAGTAGGCCTTTATTGGTGAGTAATGACGTTTGGGGGAATGTACAAGAACTCCAAAAATGTCGCACTTTACAAAATTTAAATGTGTATAGCCTCGAATGCGCCATATGTTCAAAATGTTCCGGGACTTTTAACAATGTGCCAGCCATTCCTACCCTCGAAAATTGACGAAGAATTGGGAATAAAATACGTTAAGCACTTGTCAGAATTAAACACTTTTTTGATTTACGTAAATAAGTTCGAGTCAACGAGAGAATCTTTTTTAGGAACGTGAATTAAACTGCCTGAAAGGGGACATTCGGTAGGTGATAAAAATAATAACTCGGACAATGTTTCCCGAACATTTGATAAGATATCGCGTCCGTGTGTTTCAAGTTTCCCCATGATGTAACATCTCATCACATTGTCATTATATCGACGATGGAACGGTCTTATTTGAAATGCGGTGCAAGTAGAGGCCGTTATAACCACGTGCCCAGTGACAACTTTACGAGAAGAACTACTTGAAACCACATGTTACACTTCCACTTGCTTTATACCCTCTACATGATATCACCAACCCCGTTCGTCCTGTTATTCGTTTAGCATACGTTCTAACCCGTCAACCGTTGTAAAATATCCGCTGATGGGGGTTACGGAAAAACCACAATACCACACGGGCGCTAACCATTAAATCGCTTGTTTAAGGGTTGTTAAGCGGTCAACGTATTACCGCGATTCTGAATGCTGCACGCTGTACGTAATAAAAATGTTATATACAAAAACATTAAAATATTGTTTTACGATCAGTTTCAAATAGTGTAGCTGTTGAAGTGAAAAACTGTAAATCAATTTCTTTAAAATTTGGAGGTGTTCAACCGAAAATTTACTGTTACGTACGAAGCTGGGTTCGCTAATTAATTAGGAAAAAATTACGTAGACTTATTCAATAAATTAATTTATTAGCAAAGCACTAAGTACCGCTAAAGAAGTTTGGGATTGTTTCTTGTCGGTACGTTACACAAGTTTCGATTTTTGTTTGAATTTTAACGGACATTTAATGTAAAACTATTTTAATGATACAAAAATATCTATTATCTACTTTGTCCAAATCGAGAAATTTGGTGAATTTTTTCTCGATTAGTAATAAGTAATATCTGCTAACACGAAACTTAAGGCGTTTTAGGGAACTTCAAAATCATATATTTCTATTTCCACATAGTCACTGTTATAGCATATTTCTCCTAATGTGTCACAGTTTTTTTATTCGGTCACTAAAAACTACTTCCGACTTTTCTCGAATCCAGGATTTATTAGCTGCATCTACCTCATCGTCCGAGGAAAAAAATAAAAATCGCTGGGCGCCAAATCGAGGGAGTAAAGAGGGTGCGGAATCAGTTCAAATTTCAGGTTTCGCAGAACTTCTTTAGTTGCACGCGAAGTGTGTGTACCAGCATTATCATGTTGCAAGATTGCAGCCTCCAAGCTGCCTTTAGCATGACAAACTCGACGCCGAAGGTTTTTTAGATACATCTGTCCACACAGCTCGCTCACAACCGAAACCTGAAATTTGATCCAATTCCATGCTCAGCATCTCCTGATCTATTTTAATCTCTTTCCGTTACTCAAAAGATAATCATATCATTACACCTTGGGTGATGAGGTAAAGGCAACTATCAAATCCGAGATTCCAGAATAGTCAGAAGAATTTTTGAGTGACTGAATAAAAATAGGGGAATTGTGTGACTATCAATATGCGCAAAAATAAATATACGATTTTGAAGATTAAGGACAAAGGACCTAAGAATTGTACTATAAGGTACTTTTTGCTAGACTATTCTGTTTGTTTCTTTGTGGATTACTTTTCAGTTTACCCTTGTCCTTGTGGATTTACACGCCCCTGTAATCGAAGCAAAACCCTCACATTCAACCTAATATAACTTGACACGCTTTTTTGGGTCTTGGATCGTGCGGCAGCTTTAGTTGGTATGATTGAGCTTTGGTATCCACGTCATAACTATATACCCTTGATTCCTCACCAGTTATTACTGTCTGTAGCAAATTTGGGTCGTCGCAGACAGAGTCCAACAGCTCCTTAGCAATGTTAATGCGATGTTGCTTTTGGTTCAGTAAACTAGCTTAACCATACATCACAGTCAACATTCGAAATGCGTTTGCGCACTTAATTTTGTTTTTCACACAAAATTTGATACAGATTCTTTGATCCATATTTTGAAATAGGTAAAAATTGAAGACGAGACAAAACACGTACAAGCTAAGCAGCTGTCAAAAATTAACTGAACGTTCAACATGACCGAACTTGTCGGTGTAAGTGAGAGACATGAAATTCGCGACACTTTTTGAGCAGACTTTGTATATACATTTCCTCAAATGAAAATGTAGAAAATGTACTTTTATGTTTCCTTTATTAGGGTATGTTTCTTCTCGAACATCGTTTAAGTATTAGTTCAAAAATAAGTTGATTGGTCCCTGTATAACTGCGTGTGTGAAGCGCCGGCCAGAATTTCTCATGCGTGTTATTTATTCTTGAAGGAAAAAAATGTTTTGCTTTAATTACCGGGGAAGGATTTGTGCCTGTATTGGTGATATTGAAGAAAGAGGGTAAACGAATCAGTCGCATGTGTAATTGTCCATTAGGCCCTATCTGTTGCATGACTATTCGTCACAGCTATCACTCGACAACATTTGCTTTTAGTGCGACCGTTTTCTCGCCTGGGGTTATTTATTGCCGTGTACTCGTTACTGTCCTAATTATACCTCACGAATTAATTACCTTCCACAGATTAGAGCCCGTTTCTTCAGACGATAGTGTTATAACTTACTGATTAAAAAGTTTGCCACGTTTGAATAATAATAATAATAATAATACATATGTAATGTGGATATAATAATTATATATTTAATATACATATACCAGAAGACAATTTCTAAAGTTGGGCCTGCACATCTAGCGAAAATTCGACAGTTTAAAGTAAGCAGGGTGAGTGCCAATAGCAAGAACAGGATCAGGACTCAGGACTAGTAGTCCTGGTGTTGGCGGTCGCCGCTGCGCTGGGGCGAATTTGCACCCCGAATAGGAGGGACACTGCACGGTGCTGTTATTTAATCGATAGCATTGCTTTAGCATATTCATAATTATTGTTATCTATGTAGGTAAAAAAGATAGATGAACTAGAGGTTATCCTATAATGAGAGAATAGTTCGATGTAGCATTAAAAAATTAATGAATAATAAGGCGGTAGGTATAGATGGGATACAGGCAGAAATTTTAAAATATGCAGGACAAGAAGTTGGAGGTCGTATGTTTAAGCTATGAACAGTATTCTAATCTAGGTCTACCTCTACCCCTCCTAACTCCCGTTTCTGCCTCTAATATGTCTCTGACTAGACCTTCATGCCTGAGAAGTTGTCCTATCTCGGCTATTTCTCATTGACTTCCATAGAGTCCTCTGTTCTCCTATTCTTTCCAATACCTCTTCATTTTTTACCTTTTCTACCCACGTTATCCTCATCATCCGCCTATAACACCACATTTCTTCTAGTGATTTTCTCTTGTGGGCTAAATCGTTTAAGAGTTGTTGACAAACAAAATTAATTCAAAATTCATTTTTTTAAGCAACTCATTCGTTGTTTTGGCGCCTGGGTTTGGATATCATTTGCAATAGAGTCATTTTTGTTTCTTAAATCCAATGAATTCATGGATAACATCTTGAGGTATTTCTAAATGTTGTTCGTCATAGGTCCGATTTATCAGAAGTCAATTTTTGTACAATGATTTACTTAATTTGAAAGAATATATTGTTTTATTGAATTACCGTAGTACATAAATATTTACACGTATTAAAATGCTATACATGCTAAAGTTTTATTATTTTTATTGTTACAGGATTTTCCTTGCGCCAAGTGTTCTCATTCATATTCGATTTCGTCTTGTGCCCATTTTGAAAAAATCGTCAAGAATGTAAGTTTTTTACTTTTTATATACTTATTTTTCGACCACATTGCGTTAGCCAAGTCAACTTCACTCCTTTTTGTATACACCGCTATTATATACGTACACTAGTGGCAAGTTGAGCGGCATCATCTTTTGAAAAATACGTCGTTGTACAGAAAAATTCTTACGAATACCTTCAGCAATATTTTCATATAAATAATAAAGGAATAAAGTCAAATAAATGCAATTTAGAGTTCTTGGAAGGGGAATCCCCCGTTCTTGAAGATGTTTTAAGAAGAAAAAAAAGCTGATAAAAAACTGTGTAATTTGTATCTTTGATGGGCGTTTTGCCTTACCTGTATAAGTATGTGCATTGTTTTAAAGTTTTGCTAAAGTTGGTTTTCTTGAATTCTACTTTTTTTATTTTGTAACTTATAATAGGGAAGGTATGCTTGATGTTGTCCACGTCAAATACCGAAATTAAAAAAATTTTGCCTTCTCAAATGGAAAATTAACTTACCTTGAGAGAGAGCTATTAACCGTTTTTTTTGCGTATTCCATTATTTTGCCAAATACTCCAAATTTTTCTGCTTCGGACACTGGACAAATAAGGAACTGTCTAAAAGTTTGTTTTCCTAAATTTGGCTTTTACTTATTTGCCAATCGAGTAATTTGCTTGGTGAAATAAGAATTAATTAGTAGTTCTTAATACGCATATGATATTACGTACATTTAACTGGTAAATATTTGTTTTTAATATAATGGTCGCTTAGATGTTAGACGTTTGGTCACCTGTTGTTGTTGAAGTTTCTTTTATTTCTGTTAAATCGTTGCCTTAAAATGATCAATATTCTTCGAAAGGCAAGTTTTCATATTAACAGTACCGACTTCTAACGCAGTTTACGGAAAAGTGGTTGGAATTTATCTGTCTAATTTGGAGAAACTGCTTTTTTAATGATAAACTGGAATAGTATTAAAAGAGTAAACATCATTCTAGACCTGATCCCATGAGTGCCATCACAAATCGAAGAATTCATGCAAATCCCCTTCCATTTTTCTTATAATTACTCCCAATAACTGCCACACCTACAGTGATCAAACAGCCCTTGTTTATGTTTGTTTATATTAAACGACGAACAGTAATATTCCTAAATAATATTTAATTAGTAAAGAAGAAAAAAGATGGTAAGACACCTTCTGAGATATGAAAGGCTAGATAGAGACATATTATAGGTATAGGGTTGTTCGGAAAGTCATTTCGTTTTTTCCCGACAGAGGATTTAATTGTATTCTTTTGCACCCAACTTCACATTTAAGCCGTATAATTTTTATATGCTTTGAGAGTTCATATAGCAAGGCTTGTGTGTGAAAAATTCCAATTAATTCTACGCAGTAGTTTTTGGTTGGTGCCCTTTTAAATATGGAGAGCGATAAGCAGCATTTTCGACATATCTTACTGTTTTACTACAGAAAGGGTAAAAATGCTGTTCAAGACAGAAAGAAATTGACTGATGTGTATGGAGAAGGTGTGTTGACAGTACGCCAGTGCCAGAACTGGTTCGCTAAATTTCGATCCGGCAATTTTGATGTCGAAAATGCACCACGTTCGGGAAGACCGGTTGAAGCTGATAAAGACGCGATAAAGGGATTAGTTGATGTGAACCGGCGAATAACAACACCTGAGATAGGATTGAGGTTAAATTTATCAAATTCAACAGTTTATGACCACTTGAAAGGCCTGGGATTATCCTCGAAGCTCGATGTATGGGTTCCCCATGTTCTCACAGAGAGAAATCTGTGTCGCCGCATTGACGTCTGCGATTCGCTTCTCAAACGTCACGAAAATGATCCGTTTTTGAAACGCATCATCACTGGGGACGAAAAATGGGTTGTATACAACAACGTCAAACGCAAGAGGTCATGGAGCAAAAAAGATGAACCGGCTCAAACCATTTCCAAAGCCGATATTCACCAAAAAAAGGTGATGCTGTCTGTTTGGTGGGATTTTAAAGGAATCGTTTTTTTTGAGCTTTTACCGGATAACACAACGATTTATTCGGAACTCTACTGTCATCAGCTGGACAAACTGAATGATACACTTCAACAGAAAAGGTCAGAACTAATCAACAGGAAAGGTGTAGTGTTTCACCAAGACAACGCGAGACCTCTCACAAGTTTGGTCACTCGCCAAAAGCTTTTACAGCTTGAATGGGATACAATGCCACACCCACCATATTCTCCAGACCTCGCACCATCGGATTGTTATTTTCCAAAAAAGGGGGAGGAAATAATTTTCGTATTCAAGTTTTCCTAATATAACTGATATCACTCAAAATTACAGCCGGAAATAAAGACAAACGTTGAGGTTTGGTCCAAACTTATAAAAATGATATTGGTGTCCAGTTAGAAGTGAAAAATCTTGGTCTGTCATCGAGCGAACCGCTGGATTTCGTAAAAGAATTGAAACGTCAATATATTGATGACGTTTTTTTTTCCAATTTAACAGTTTTATTAAGAACTAGCTTTTCCCCGCGGCTTCGCTCGCAAAAATTAATATTGTTTCTCCATAAAACCTTTGAACTCCCGATTCACCCTCACAACGTTTTAATTTTATGTAATGTCGCCATCTTAGATTTCAAATACAAAAAGTAGCAACAACATTTCATTCTTAAGGGTTGATTTTTAAAAATTGCCAAAACACGTATTTGCTTAATTTCAACAATGTGCAACCTTCGAGTAAATCCGAGTACAAATAAAATATACCCTATGGAAACGTTGCAACCTCTTTTCATTTGATTAATAATATCAAACAAGTTTCAAGTATATAAATCAAATGAGAGACCATTAAGACCAAGTTTGAAGTAAATCGGACCAAAAACAAACATGCAATCTTTGCAAACCCCTTTCAGCTTCCTAAAGAGGTAGAATTTTGTAAAATGTTGAAATAGTATGTATGTCTCTAATTTTATAAGAAAAAGCATTTAAGCCAAATTTCAGGTAAATCTGACTATAAATAAAACACCATACCATAGACAACATTACGTTTAGCTGTTTGTCGCGTTTTGTTATACCATTTTTAACAAATGAACGGCTAGACTGATGTTTTGACTAATAAATTTTTCGTTTTGCTGTCAGTTACGTTTTGTCATTCCATGTCAATTGCGTTTTCTTATACCACTTTTTTCCACGGCAACGGGATAAAAAGTGTCCTTTGCCCATCTCCTGGTTCGAAGCTAACTCCCCACCAATTTTCAGCCAAATCGGTTCAGCCGTTCTTGAGTTATAAATAGTGTAACTAAAACGACTTTCTTTTATATATATAGATTTTCGTTTGCAAGGTAGTTACTAACATACGGGAGAGGAGAGGTCATTTTCGTAATTAAAGATAAATATATATAATATAT